TGTGAGTTCAGCATTCATTCTCATATTGAATTTTCCCGAAGTACCACTTTGAATTTTGATAATTTCATGAATTTGTTATGTTTTTCTTCGGTTGGTCTCGTTTTCTGTTAATTGATTACAACCAAGAGTTTAATTTGGAATGCATGATGCTGTTTTGAAATCGTTTGTGATGTGAAGTGATCGTTAATTTGAGTGTGATGTTTGGAATATTCAGACGGATGATGTTGTGACTGAACCAATGAGTGAAATGCACATTTCAAACGATAAGGAACCAGAGCAACAAGCCGATAAAACTGTGGGTGATAAAGAAAACGGCGCTAAGGAGCCTGAGGGAAGTGAAAAAGAGAAGGGAAATGTGATGTTGGTTGATATCGATGATGAGGGCAACGACACCGAAATGTGGACAATGATGGACAAGAACGACGTTGAAACGACAGCTAAAACGAATGACGCAGGTGAGGAGTGGTGTAAAGATTGAGAGTACGGCACACAACTTGATTTAGATTAGATTAGGAAATCACTTCAGTCGGTTATATCCGACGTATTTGATGAAGGCATTGCATTGAGTGAGAAGTGAACATTTGTTTCGTTTGCAGACGGTCAAAGTTTGAGATTTTTATCGTCATGTTAAAGTCAACAGTGAGTTGATGAAATTTGCTTTTTGCACTTGAATGCATTCATATTTCGTTTGTGAGTTTAATAGAATTTAACAGTTTATTTCTTATACTTTGCTGGATTCATATGATCATGTCAAGAGTGTTGATGAAGTAAAGTTCGTATCGTTTGGATTACTGGAATGAATTTACTTTATCCATGAGGTTCCCATAGCCTGATCGATGATTGATTGCGCTTCATTATCCATAGGATCTGTTGAAAAAGTCTACCCGAATCTGTCCGATATTGGAATCAAGTGCATGGCTGGAACACCATTCNTGCCCGCTCATCGCTCCAGGTATACGAGAAGGCATTTTCTTTCTTCTTTGGGTTTTGTGTCATTTGATTGCCCGTAATTATGTAACCTCAGTAAGTTGTGCGAGAATCTTTTGTTGATATTCAGGTGTGTAACTTTTTAAGTGCTATTGTTTTATGGCTTTACTTTCTTGATTCCTATATCTCGTTTTGTGACGTTTATATTCCCTTAGTATGATTTTATCTTCTGTTTATTGACTTGTCAGTCGCTCCAGGTAGTATTGAGACGGGCTGTGAGCCTCTTTCGTAAACTGTAGATCGTTTCCCACTGAATGAGCAGTTCTTCGGATCTGATAGATCGAGTAATTGCTAGTTCTTCGAGTCACCTACTGCTCAAGGAATGCCATCATTCAAAATTTTCAGATAGAAAGGTTGCGACATGCGTAGAACAGCTGGAAGCGATGGGATTCGATAACTGCAATGGCTGGTTGACGAAACTGGCGATGGTTCATCAGGGTGATACAACACGTGTCATCGAGAATTTGGGCAGTGATCCGGTGTATTCGCAACGTCTGCAGGCGGCACTCTGAAGTGTTTGGGGAAGAAATTGGATGGATGAGTTTATTGATCGTGGGAAAAGTGTTTTTCGATTATTGTAAAATTCCTTTTGAGAGGCTATGAGATGGAGGCGATTCTCGAGAAGTACAACAACAACTTATGAATGCATTCATTCGTAGTCAGATTTCCGTTCTGAATGTCTTATTTGAAAATCCAAAAAAGTGGGTGAATTTGTAGAGTGGATTCAAGCCGACTTCATCAACGTGGCAGCTGTTATATTGCTCGGCTAAAATTTTGAGTTGAGAATTCGAGTGTATTAATTTTTCGCCACACTTTTCATAGCCATCTCATTCGTATTGCGAATAAAGTTTCACAGCTATCCTTTATCATTTTCATTAATTTTCGGAGTCAGCTTCATTCGGTTTTGGCCATGTGCGGATTCAGTACTGTCTCTAACCAAGACCGCATCTTTCCATATAATCGTAAGATGTAGTATTTGAGCGCATTGATTTCGTTTGATTGTTGACGGTTAATTTGAATGTTCGACGCTTCCAGCGAAACGCGGCTGTTGAAATCTTTCTTCTCCTGAATTCGTGATTCATTCATCTGTTCTCGATTTACCATTCTCATTCACTGTACATAAAAATATTTATTTTGTTCTGTCTCTTCTGAATGTGATTCATATTCGACCATATAAAATTATCACGACTGTGTTAACGCTTCCGGATTCCGTAGCACCTTTATTGCATATTTAATCGAGTCATCCACAACTACTTCCTGGAATCAAATATAATGTTTCCGCGAACTTTTTCTGTTAACAATAATCGCACGATAATGTTCACATTTACTTTGTATATTATCTACACTTGTACCAATGCTACATTTAATCCACAAATATTCTGATATCCGTATAATACAATATATATATAATAAAGTATTTTAATCTTTCAGTTGGAGTTTTGCGTTGAAAAATCGTGATACAATCAAGGCAATGTTTTTGGTATCATTCATTGGCCATACTGTGCAATTGAATGTAGTTGAGATAATT